AGCCGCGCATTTCTTCATATTGAAGCAAAAAATTAAAACCTCCCGCAAATGACGAGAATTTGGCTCGTAAACTGACATTTTCAATCGAGAATAACTTTATGATGCAGACACAAATCGACTAATGTTTCTATGGGGTTATGTTGACAGATGCCCAAGTTTATTGTATGACGTCTATGATCTATTTATTTCGATCACCACTTACCGTTAAAGTCATCTATAGGAAAACGGCGGAAACAAAGTTGTACACCTAGATGAATCATAGGATGGAATCCATTCTTATTTTACGACTGTTCTAAGTAATGTCTTAAGATGTTAATGTCTCCGATTAGTTCGTGACATCTTAAGACTATACTTAAGACGGTCTTAAATATAAGATCTGACTATGAATACTAATCGTAGATACAGATTTAACGTCTTCGATTTAAACGTTAGGGTGCCGTCACATAAAGCGTAATCTGCGTAAGCGTAACCTGCACATATTCTGGTAATATTACTAGAATATGTTATATTTTATTTATTAGCCATTTTCTGAAAGCTGGGATTCACATTAGGCATATTTCGCGGAAGACTGATCAGAATTTCTGTTGTACATTCTAATAGAAATGTTAAACAAATTTATAATTGATTTTCGTAACCTACGCATCTCGAAAAGTATGTCTCATGAGGAACCGGCACCTTTCCATTACGTACATATGAACAGATGATAAAATGAATTGTTAAAATCAGGAAGTCTTGTGAGACCTCTCTTAGGCTTATTCAATGCGTTTTTATTGAAACAAAAGAATCTGGCAAAAAAATGCATCGCTGCTCTGTAATCCGAGATATTAAGTGTTAAAGTTGACTATTGACGTTAGGAAATCTGTTACAGGCAAAGTGAAATCTATAATTGTACTGTTCCACATGATTTCAACTTTCCACGTGATGCACGACTTCTATAATTATATTGTTACAAAAATCGAAACCCATGTGCATTTTTTCAGGCAGAATAAGCTAAAATGAGCCAGAAATTGGATTTGACGGATGGTGATTCCATCATATTCGGCGTAACAATAAAGTAGCATAAAAAGCACAAAGTAACTAGGCAGAAACTGATGTTCAAGTAAAACAATATGATTGATCGGTGCAAGTTACGCCGCATATTACAGCACTCTTAACGATTAATCGAAACTTCGCTACGCAAATACGCGAGTACAGCAATAGGTGCATTCGGCATTGTAAATCGGAAACATTCGTTTGTTCTCTTACCTCGAAAATCATTCGGCATCTTTCGGCAACTCACATCTTTCTATTATATGCATGTCATCTCATCTGCGTTCGATATTAACATTTCTAGAGCCAATCAAGCTGCTCGGTCCTCTGGATTCAAAGACCGAGCTCGCAGAACTAATGCACATTTTTGCGCCTAAATTAAATTCATAACCTGTATATTCATAACCTGTATATGATAATAGGTTTGTTCGCGTCGCAAGCTTCAATCAACTTTTACTCTATCAAGCCTGTTGGAATGAGTAAAAATTATAATAGGAACATATTACAACATGTTGGAACATGCGACGCGAACAAACCTCTAATGTATCTAATTGATTCGTTAACACATACATTCATCTCTTTTAATATTTCTATTTTACAAATAGTATATTTGAACTGTTGTCTAATGCCCGTATTCAGACCTTGTACTTAAGTTCTTCCTTAAATTTATCTTTAGATGCTTAGCATGAAATAATTCGTACAATATCTGAAGATAAATTTAAGAAAATCTTATAGCTTTTGCACACTGGACGCAGAAATGCTTACCGCGCGGCAAAATGTGATGTGATAGCCAATAAGCTTATAGCTTCTAATGTGTTCATCGATTATCGCGTCTCATTTTGCCGCGTGGCAAGCGTTTTCGCGTCCAGTGTGCTGGAGCCATTAAATATAAGGTCTAACTATGAGCGGGTATAAGTCTACAAACGCTGAAACAAATGCTATCAAATAAAAATTAATGGAGTACACAATATACTATATTTAACGAGGAAAGTAAGTTTTTAATTCTTTTTTTCTTTATAAATTTGAAATTACGTATTTAAAAACAAAAAATAATGTTAGTTAATTTTAGATTAAAACTTATATTGTAATTATAGAATGAAATAAAATCAAACTGTATTAATATATTAAAGACTCTAACGAATATAAATCAAGAGGGTCAATCTGTATCTTCAAACAAGATGAAAAATTACGAGTGAGCAAATTTATTAGATGTTGACCAATGAAATTATTAGTATTCTAATAAATTTGCTCACTTTTGTAATTTTCAACCTCGTTTCAAGATACAGAATCAATCCTAAGTGATATAACTTATAAATTTCAAATTGCTGAAATTTATTTGCAATGTAGTATTTTCTTTTAAGAAAACACACCTTGCGTATGAATCTGCTACATTCATATGTAACGATTTATTTTTAGTATAAGATTATCAGTTTTTAGTAAAGCGAAAGATATTTTCAATTAATAGGGTTTTTTATTTATTTTATAAAAACAATTTAATTTTATAATCTAATCTTAAAGGACAGTTTATAGCTCTATATCGTTCGGAATTAATTCTTGGCACTCGGATTGCTCGAAGATTATGTGATCAAGTTAGCCATCTGCTAGCTTGCATCTCAAATTTACATTGCCGAACGCACCTAATACGTGGCATAGAACTCATGGGATGGTACCCTAATACTGCTCTATAATACACGTTACGTTTATTATAGGATTTTCGTACGCGAATGCGATATTTTTCAAAAACGACTTCAAACTATTAAAAATTTGTGTTTTATTATCATTGGTCGTTTTATTATTCATTTATTATTATTCGTAAAAATGAACTATCGAATCAAATTAATTTTTTAAATAAAAAAGTATAAACATAAATATTAAATTAATTTAATTCATGATATATTTATATCATCACATCATGAAAAAAATGGCGAAAATGACTAAATTCTTAATTCGATCGGAACTCTAGACGGTCGATAGCGCAATCTGACGAGGAATGCAGCAAATAGCTCTTTTTTATTTCTCCTATACGGACAAGTGGAGTGTACTAATTTATCGAAAATAATCACGAATACTCAGCTCCGCTCCCATAATTTCGCACCGAGTGAGTAAATTGCAGATAAGTTAAATGCCTTAATTCAGGTTGCCCGTTACACACTGCGTCACAGACGCGGTGCAGTTCACATTTCAATTTCCGAGAGCGAACGAGATTCTCCGCGTGAGCCACTGATTTGGCAGATCAGATACCCCCCCCCCCCTCCCCCCGATGACGATACGACGATCTTCATTGTTTATTCACATGATTTACCAACACTGAAAAATCCATTCTCCATGTTCCTTCCCTTCTCACCTCTAAGTAGAATTTGATAGAACTTCTGCGCGCGCGGTACCCCATTCGTTTTCTTCCTGCATGTTTTCGTCTTTCATTCCTCGCTCTCTCGTATGCTGTAATATCTCCTCAATCTTATTTGCTTTCAGAGTAACAATAATCCACGTAAATGAGCTGAATCCCGCGAAAATGAGCTCGCTACAGCAAGGGAATAGATTCCTGCCATTCTCGAACAATAATTTACAAAGAAAACAATTGTCCATGCAAGGTACAAGCTTCATAAAATGTTGCATTGATTGGTTGTAAATTACAGCCTATAACACATGTGGCATATGATTACCTTTATCTATCTTGATGAGATGTCTACTCGGGATGTTCTTTCTATAGGTGGTCTTCCTCAAAGTTTGAGCGGCAGCGAAACTGATGTTTCTACATCCAATGAAAATTTGAGCAACGAAGAGAGATATGTCATAAGGCATACGGCTCGGCAAGAGCCACAGGGTCAAGAAAATCAGCAACAGAGTCCCTCCAGATCTTCCAGTCACAAAGAGAATATACCAAATATTCAGGTGCATCCAAAGCATATGAAAAACAATAGCTTTAAAGAAAATACACTAATTCAGGTATAAAAAACAAACCTGATATTGCATTCCTCTTATTGTTTGCAACGCTCGCAAGCAATCATTTCATCCTTGTTTAATATTTGGAAACAATAAGGATATAAATGCTCGTAGGCATCAAGGCCGGAATCAGACTACGCATAGAAGATTGAGATTGAAGATTGAAAGATTGAAATTTGATCAATTAAAACAATACGAGCTGAAATTTCTTTGTTCTCATTGGTCAAATTTTAATCTTCAATACATAGACTGTTTCCGGCCTAAGATGATATACAGGGGCATCCAGGTAACATTCCAAATGCAGCCTTAAGGGAGTCAACTCGAAGAGTGGGGGTATCTCGTTTCCTAATCAACAATACTGACATAAAGGATACAATCTACTTGTTGCTACAAATGTTTCAAAGTGTTCAATTGATCAATAGAAAGAAAGAATTTTACTAATTGACCAATCAAAAATGCTTCGTCCCAAATAGGCCACTCCCTAATCTAATCAAATAACGAATAGTACAGGTCTTTTTAAAAAATGATATAAAGAAATATAGGGCATATAAGAATCAACATTAATAATAATAATTAATTATAAATGCAAAAATATAATAATATGATACATAAAATATAATAATATGATACATAAAATGTATAAAAAATTCTTAAATAACACATTGTAAAACATATTACATTACATATTTGCAAGAGCCGAAACATGTGTTTTACAATGTGTTATTTATAGAATTTTTAAAATATATTTTATATATCATATTATAGTTCTTGCAAAATTGATTACATTGACTCTAATCTGGTATAGGAAAGGGTCAAATAGCAGGATTAATCAAAGATTATTCAGTTTTAAAAAATTACGTACTGATTTAGAACAATCGATTACGTGATTTACTTGTCTTAATTACATAATTTCGTTATGTAACTGTGTAAGGTGATTTTTTTTTTAGTAGGCATAAGAATCGACTGTGATTGACTTGTGACATCTTAAGATTGTAGGACTTAAGGATGATATTTTTTAAAAATATCAGTCAAATAACTCTGCTAAAATAATTTCACTGAAATTACTATTTCACGTTTTTAAAACACTTTTCAAAACGCATTTCAGAAAAATTACAACAAAAATTTCAGAGAAATTGCAGAAAGATTTTAGTTCATTTTCAGCGATTTTTCAATATGAATGCTTTCCAGCAAGGACACAGTCAGACAGTGCGTTCCACTTAACGCCCGTAATGCTCGTGGAATCATTTTATTCTTGTTTATCAAATATTAAACAATGATAAACGATTGCGAACTTTCAAACATTAAGTAGAACGCAGCCTGTGTAAGTGAACAGTGAATCGTTTCATCCTTATTTATCATAGGCAAACAACAAGGACTGCTGTCACTGTGTAAAGTACTTGTTGGAACGTTTAGTTTCATAGTATAACACCAGAATGCATTATAATCTTCCATTTTATTCTTATAATTATATTTAATATATCAATATGGATTTATGATTTTTATTTAGACTTAAGGTATAATTTTTTCAGATTTTTTGGCTGTGTTGAGCAATGTAAGAGACTCCGCACAATAAAAGGAACAAAGAACAGAGAATAAGAATTTCAACCTATCAGAATCATGTATTGTGGAATATAGTTTCTGATAGGTTGAAATTCTTATTCTTTGTTCTCTGTTCCTTTTATTGTGCGGAACCCCTAACACTGTGTCATAATTGGAATACTTTGTGTAAGGGTGCCTTCACATCTTGACGGAAAAGCGGAAAGCGGAAAAGCAGTGACCAATTAGAACTCACGCTAATAATAAGTAGTACAAAAAGTCGAAATTGTAGACTATCAACTAGAGTTCTGATTGATTGCTGCTTTTTCGCTTTCCGCTTTTCCGTCAAGGTGTGAACGTGCTCTAAGATATTATACAATGTTATACTATGGCTGCGTGTATTCTTTTAGATCATCCAATCAGCATTTTAGATCTCTTTAGAAGAATAAATCAATAGCAGCGAGCGCTCACACAACTGTTGAGTCCGCTGAACGCAGCCTATATCACCTATGTATGTTGTTGGAAAACATCTAGTAATAACTTACTGTGTTACAATATTTGACTTGCTAGAAAGCACCCTAAACTGAAAAATTTACTTTCAGTAAAATTTCAGCAGATTTTCAACAATTTTACTGAAATTATCAACAATTTTTCAAAACGTGAAATAATAATAATTTCAGCGAATTTTTTTCGCTAGAATGAGACAATTAAAAAGTACAGACAATAGGATATAAAGCTGTAATCAAATTAGAGATTGGAATTTGATCGAAATTTAATCAATCGAAAGAAAGAAAACTAATCTCAAGTTTAATGAAATTTGCTTCTGTTGATTAAATTTCAATCTCAATCTCTAGATCTAATTAAAGCCTAGACCTAATTAAAAAAATTAATAGATTTCGATTTATATTATTCCTTGTTTCGATTGTCTTTTCTTTTTAATTGTGTCTTTAGCTTTACATAAATGCATTCTTCTTTCTTTTGCAATTCAGCATCCATTTCCTTATCTAAGTTAATATGGTTTATCATGATATAGGGCAATCTACATAACAGGAATAGTCTGAAAGACAGCTTAAACGGGTCTAACAGGAACAGTTTAAAGGAAAGCTTGAATGGTTCGAATCGGAACAGCCTGAAGGACAGCATTAATGGATCCAATCGGAATAGTCTGAAGGACAATTTGAGCAATCGCACCAGTGGTTCAAATAGGAGCAGCCTGGACGTCTCGACAAGTTCTTACAACACATTAATAATACATAACGCTAACGACGATAATTCATGGATTCCATCTGGAAGGTAAGTATGCATTTTTTTTATTAACAATTACAGAAATTACTTTGTATTTCTTATTTGTGAACAGGCTATCGGGCATAGTAAGAGAACACGGAGATGTGGGTTACTTGTACTGCGATGGAAAGGGCCATTCCAACAGTCCCACAATACAGTCCTTGTCCAATTTGCCGCACGAAGATTACGTCCACGATCAATCAGGTGGAGGTTGCCAAGAAATTACGGATATCCCGGATGATTATCTTAATCAATCTCAGGTATATCATAACGATTAATATAACAAACAAGAGACAACGTATAGCATTAAATTTTTTTATTTCGCCAAACTTCAAATACATATTTATTTCATCTTAAGACAGCAGATTTAAAAATTATTTATTTAAATGATGTCCAGATTTTTTTCTTGAAAAATTCTACTATTTTCAAATGATTTTTCCCGGTTCAAACGGTTAGTCCCGGTTGATTAGGAAACAAGAAACAGAATGTTATTTACCAATAATAGAAATAAGAGAAAGAAATTCTGAACAGCATATACTGAACATTTGAAGATCATGTTTGTGTTCTCAAGAAGTAATCACGATTGTAAAAGTAGTTGAAAACATGTAACTACAAAGAGATATTGTTTGTTTGTCGTAAATTTTATATTATTTTAAGGTGAAACTGAAGGAATAGCTCTACCTTTTTGCATGTTTTTACAAAAAAAAAAAAAAACACATTGGAGATTAATTAGGTTTTGAAAGTTTTTCTGTATCTGTTTAATTCCGTTCTTAAACATGCGTATGCATTTCGCAGGTCTTGAAACATCTAGCAAAAGAAGTGAAAGTGCCACCGTATCCTAATAACAGTAGTAGTTTAGAAATGAGATTAGGAGAGATAAGAATAAGAGATGGTGACAGGGGGAAACAAAACGAAAGCGAGTATGAAGGCAGGTCGACACCGTGCTATGTATCCCCATTGTTCAAAAACAAACATAGGCTCTTTGGACCGACGGAAAAGCTGACTGTATCGCGATCGCAGCCAGATCTATCCAGGATCAAGATGGACATCGATAATTACAAACTTCGGACAATTTCGCCCCGGTAACGTAATATTTTTCACTTATGCCTCGCACAATCACATTTATGCTACGCACAACGTTTAACTAATAGACCTGGATCCTCCACAGACCTCAGACCAAAGGACGGGAGGAGTTGGAAAGGGAAACGGGCGAAGTATGGCCGTCCTCGGAGATGATTCAGATAGTGATCCAGGAAAACAGTGTGTTGAAACTCGAGCTAGAGCGCTGTTACAACAAGGTTGCCAAGACGCAAAAGCTGGAGCAGGAGATAGCGAAAGTGCATCGTGTTCACGAAGAGCTTGCAGCGTCTTGTGAACGACGAGAGAAGCTGGAGCGTGCCGCTCGAATGAAACTGCAAAACGAATGCCGCCGTTTGACCGAGCTGAATCGCGCATATAGAGACCAGATTGACCTGCTGTCCGTGCGCACAGACAGCCCGCCAATCGTTGACACATTACGGAAGGAGTTGTCGCAACGCGAGCTACTCATTGGACAGCTTCTTTCGCAAAGTATTGATCATATGCAAAATAGAGAGATATGACTTCTCCTTAAATTATTACCTTTTTGTGTGTTTTTAGACAAAGAATTGACCAATGCGAAAGAAAGGCAGGAAATTGAACTGACGGCCCAGCGCGCCACTTTGCAGGAACAACGTACGCATATCGACATTCTAGATACCGCTTTAACGAATGCACAAGGCAATGTTGTGCGGCTTGAAGAAGAAGTAAATTGATTTATTAATAATATCGATAAGATCATATATAAATAATTACATAAAATTTAATTTTTATGTAATTTAATTTTTTTATGTAAATTTAATTTTTACATGTAAATAATATATAAAAATAATTATATATACAAATAATTAAAAATTTTACTTTTTATAAAAATTAGAAAATATTGTTTCATTTTTGGTTTCATTAAATTCTAATTTATTTAAAAAAGAAAGAAATTTTATAAATAATCAATTACATTTACAACAATTACACATTGATGTGGACATTGATTGCAAAATTATTTCTATATGTACAGTGTCGAAAGAAACAAGTGTATGTGGAGAGGGTAGGTCAACTTCAGCGGGCCTTATCTTCGCTTCAAGCGTCTAGCGATAGACGAGAAGAGACCGAGAGACAACTGAGAGGCCAGCTGGAAAAAGAGTTGCGCGAAGGTGGCGGAAGTGGTAACGGCAATGAGCAAACATCGAACGGTGAGACGATTGCAGATCTGAAACGACGATTACGTGAAAGGGACGAGAAGATTATGTCGCTTGAGGGCGACGTTGCGAAATGGGAACAACGTTACCTCGAGGAAAGCGCGCTGAGGCAAGCAGCTATCGATGCTGCCAGTTTGCCAAAGTAAGTAGAGTTTTTTTTTCGTCTTTTCCCAACACATTCATGTTTTGTGCTTACACTCTTTGTTTATTCCTGTGATTAGAGATGCAAAGATCGCTGCTCTGGAAAAGACCAGTCAGGACGCAGAGAAATTAATTGCCGAGGCTCGCTCGGAGAAGATGAAACACATGGACGAGGTACATGCTGCGCAAAAGAAATTGGCCGATCTGGAATCTAGGTAAGAGGAATATATTTGAGAATCGCAATGATTGCTATCATTGAGAAAAATATAAATTTTAATAAATATTTTAATAAATATTTGTTTATGTTATATAATATAGTTTAATAAATTTTATAGTTATTATAATTATTATAACTATTATAACTATTTATTATATATAATTCTATTTATAATTCTATAGTTATTATAACCATAAAATGGTTTATTTAGTTATATGTGTATTAATTTTATATATAAGCTAGTATAAGTATCACCTTTATATCATTGTCTTAATTTATACCATTGTCTTTCTATACATATACATTGTCTTTCTCCGAGTGCACTTACTAGTCATTACAATGTAATCAACGTTTTTTACTCTAACAGAATGAAGGATCTGGAGTCCAAACTAGCCGAGAGAGACGCTATGATCAAGGTGCTACAAAAGCATACGTACGACAAAGCGGACAGCAGTAGCAGCAGCGGTGTGGGCAGCTATCCCGCCGCGCATTCGTCTCACTCAAGTACGTCGGCGGATCATCATACCGCGCTGACAAGCACACCGGAACTTGGTAAAGAGACCCTTTGGAAAATGAGATTTAAAAGAATGCTGGAGCAATCAAGTTATCGACATTACAGTCATATAAAAATCTCCGAATTGATTAAATGGAATTAAAAATCCTTTTACAGAATAAAGGAGACGCAAAATCGATTTTAACTTTTTTTCGGTTTTAATATAAAATTCACGGCATCACTTCTCGATTTTTTTTTCAATTTTAATATAAAATCTACTGCATCACCTCTCGATTTTGTGTCTATCTTATAAAAGGATTTTTGATTCCATCAATTTGGAGATTTTTATACGACTGTAATGTCGATAATTTGGTTACTCCAACATTCACTTAAATTAACTCATCGATAATTCTCTTTCATGAGTTGTGGCAATTTTAATAACATCTTTCTCTGATTTTTTGCACAAAAAGTGAGCAGCGTACTCGGCGGTGGCAGCGGCTACGGCAGCACCGGCTCCTACGGCGTTACCGACAGTTATAAATATAGAAAGCAGGGCAGCTTTGAGCAGACTAATAAGAGTCTTGATGATCAACTGAAAGAGCTAGATTCTCAACTGCTTAGCAAGGTAGGCAAAATAAAGCGAAGCGTATCACGTGCGCTCTTTCCATCGGAAATGATTAATTCTCAAAAGCTTTAAAGTCTTGAATAGCATTACGTCATCGCCATTACCATCGAATTTCATTTTGCCCGCGTTGTCTCGCGTTTTTACATTATTTGTAATCATTATTACGTGCGCCGTCTGATACCATTTACATTTTGCTCACATTAATTTTACTTGTGTTTTTTTTTTCATCAATAGAGATACACATTAATTTACGGACGATCGATATTTTGAGTTCTTTAGCAACCTTTTTAATAGTCGCCGCTGAATCATGCAAATATTACAGGTCACATATTCGAAGGTATCCTTGCGTTGCTGTGTATGAGGAGCTTTGGAGTATTTTTCGTTATTTCCACTATTTTTTCTTTTTTCTTTTTTTTTTTTCTTAATTAAGAAATTGTCTCGAGAGTAGCCAACATGTACATCCATAAAACGAAGAAGAAATCTCAATTGAATCCAGTTGCTCTCACATGACAAATTTAATACGAGAGAAACGTTACATACTGGCTATTCTCTAGTTGGAGTTACTTGAAACGCATAACGATTTTAATCGCATAACAGTGTGTGATTTAACAATCTAAAATTTTATTTTTACTTTTGTACATTTATTGGAAGAATTATGTGTTATTTTTAATTTTTCCGAATAACATTCATTGCTTTTGTATACGTGTGCGTGCCTTTTTTGTGCCGTTTATTTTATTTTTATTTATTTTGCCGAACATATGTATTAACTGTTTGTCAAAATTGTGCTCGAGTAGCTAGTCAAAATAGATCTCACATTTTACACAGATTAATCTTTCTTTCTTTTTTTTTTTTTTTCAAATTGTTCCACTAATCCCTCCTGACTCTCCCCCATCTTCTCTCCCGTCCGTTCGTTATCCTCGAATGTGCATGTGCGAGCGTTTTATACAGCGAGCACTAACCCCTTTCCAGGTCCCGGCCTCCTATCTGCAACCCGTGCGTTCTTTCTTTCTTGTTTCAGCGGGCACTTTGCTGTTTTCCAGGATTCTCTAATCCAGGCACTGCGTCGCGAAAAGGAAAAATACCCAAGCCACTACTGGCGGGTGTAGATAGCACAGGTACCTCGAGCACCGCCTCGAGCAAGAGTCGGCTGCTGGATGACTCGTCCGGTAGCGGAGGCGACGTGGTGTCGTCGAGCATAATCGAGTTCGCCAACGCGGCGGCCAGGCTGAAAGGTACTATCTCGCGGCTGTCGGACGGTGCTGGTGGCAAGCCAACCGAGGATATGATGCTGCTCGAGAAGCAGGGTAGAAGCTCGCAGCGGCAACGGATGGCACCTCCAGAGATAGGCGGCGAGCCACGTCGCGCCGGGAGTCTGCCGCCCAGCTCGTTACCACGACCACCAAGGGCACTCAAGGCGACCAGCGCTAACTCTCGCTACTGTCGCCTAAGTGATACGGAAACGCGTAAGAAGTCGGATCCCGGACCGGGGATGCTGGACACGTCGTCCGCGACGAGCGGTGCGGTCAGTGGCGGCGGCGTGAAGATGATCCGCGACTCCTCCGGCAATTGCAGCATTGAGTACGGTAGATTTGACACCGGTGCCACCGTCGCTGCGAAGGCGTCGCGCAGCAAGAAGAAGAACTCCGTGGAAAGCTTCATGACGAATAGCTCGCTGAAGAAATCATCGGTTGGCTCGGGGATGACGAACAGCGGCGGCGGCGGTAGTGGCGGCGGTCATGAGTACGAAAGGCTGCAGTCTGACACGATCATGATCAACAATCGTAAGAAGTCGGTCGGCTGCGCGTTGGAGTCAGCGGTACGGCACAGGGAGATGCAGGGCCGCTCGTTCATACCGCCGCCAACGTCGTCTCGCACTCGCATAGGCGAGTATGGTCGTCTGAGCGACGGCGAGTCCTCGGTAGCAGCGGTGGCGGCGGCGGCAGCTGCTGTTCTCAAGGGAAGCGGTAACACCTCCTTGAGGAAGCAGACGGGAGCGGGTGGCTCGTCCCGCGGACAGAGCACCGGCAGCACCGTGAGCAGCAAGAGTGGCCGCGACTCTGGTGGTACTGCCAGCAGCGAGGCATCCACGGCCTCCTTGCCGCCGACCAAGGCCAGATCGATACCACGTCCCGGCAATTACCGCATTCAATTTTGAGCGGCTTGTATTTATACGCGATACCTGGACCGAGAGTCCAGTCTCGGTCAAAGGACCAATCCCGGTTGGAACTGTCTAGGTAGCATGTGTTGGTTCATTACGATTTTTATCCGCCAGCAGTGTTAGGCACAGTTTAAAGGCATTTTAAAGGTCGATTTTTTATTATAAATTCTAATAGATAAATTAATTTATTACATATAT